CGAATTCACATAATTAAATAACAAAAAAAATATAGAACATTTAAAGCAAACAACATCCTATATCAAATGATCAGCAGCAGTAGTAGACAACAACCTGTGTAAAATTCTAAGCAAACAACATCCTATGTAAAATTTCAAGCAAACACATAGCAACAGTAGTAGATAATAACAAACAAATTCCAAGCAAACAACATCCTGTGTAAAATTCCAAACAAACACACAGCAGCAGTAGTAGACAACAACAAAAAAATTCAGCAGTAGTGGACAGTACATTTCCCTTTCCACAAATTCTAAGCAAACAAAGATATACTAGTTTTAGACAACAACAAATAAAAAAACAAAAGCATGAATGTTGACAGCAACACAGCAACAACAACAACAAACAAAAGCACCACAGTAGCAGCGGCAGTAGCAGTGCAACAGCAACAACAGCACAACAGCAACATTAATAGCAAATTTCACATCACAACAAGCAAATCACTTTCCAGCAGCAATGTTAACATTGGTTAGAGCTGTAAAAAAAATTAATTTCAGTTTAAAGTAAAAAATGACACAATACATGAATGAAATCTAACTGATAAATTGAATATTAGAATTCTATTACCTCTTTCTATATCCTCCAAATCTGTAAATTTTTCTTCCATCTGAAGTGGCAATGGTGAAGAATGCAACCAATCTTGTGTACAAAGTAAACTTTCAACAAGTTTTGGAGTAAGAGAACTACGAAATTGGTCAAGGATACGACCTCCTGTGCTGAAAGTAGACTCAGAAGCAACAGTAGAGACATGAATGGCCAAAATATCCCTTGCAACTTGAGAAAGAACTTTATATCTTGAAGAATTTGTCTTCCACCAACTTAAGATGTCAAAGTTTGCAACTTCCATTTTACAAGATTTTTCCAAATACCTATCTACTTCTGACTTTCCTGTATCACCTTCTTCTTCCTCTAAAAGCTTTTGAAATTTTGTCATAAGTGACACTTGCTGCTCACTTGTACCAATGTTTACTTGATCAACAATGTCTACCTCATGAACCATTTCATTGGAAGATGAAGCAACTGTCTCAAACTGTTTATACTCATCAAAAATGTTATTCAAAGTCTCTCTTACTTTTTGAGTGAGCTCACTCACCATGGCAGGTTGATAAACTTCAAAATAACAAAACCTCACATACTTCAACTTATAACGAGGATCTAACACAACAGCAATCAATAACATCATATTTATTTTTTCAATTTTTCCCCAATACTTGTCAAATTTAGTCTTCATTTTTATTGCCATGGCTTTCAAAGAAGGATCTAAACTCTTTCCCCATTCAGTTAAGGCATTTTCTATAGCAGAAACTTTAGTGAAGTACAAGTTGGAAGTGACATACAAAGACCCAGACAAGCAAATAGTTGCGTCATAAAACTTTTGCAAAAATTGTGTAAGAACATGTGCATCTTCCCAATCTTGAGTGGTAGGAGGTCTATGATTAAGTTCTATTTTGAAATGTGGGTCCTCATCCTCTAATCTCTCAAATACTTTTTGCACTTTGTTACAACATCTAGCCTTAGATATGTGGAGTTCCACCTAGTTTGAACATCTAGACACAACAAGCTTTTACATGTTACCCTCTCTGTTTCAGCACATGTCCTGAAAAATTGTTCTTGTTGTGGAGAACTCCTTACATACTTCACCGCATCACGAATTCGAGTTATTAAATCTTTTATTTCACTTAACCCATCCTTGACAATTAAATTAATTATATGGGCACAACACCTCATATGCAAGTACTCACCCCTTAAAATCAAAGAGTCACTGTTTTTAGAAAACTTCATTTTCACATATGCAATAGCTACATCATTAGCACTTGCATTATCCACAATGATTGTACTAAACTTCTCTATAGCCCAGTCAACTAAACATGATTCCACTGCCTTACCAATTGCCTCCCCTTTGTGACTAGAAATCACACTAAAGTTGAGAATTCTTTTTTGCAAATTTCAGTCTTTATCATTAAAGTGGGCTATTAGGCACACGTATGAAACATTTTGTGGAGATGTCCATGAATCCGTAGTGAGACAAAGTCTATAGTTTGAATTCTTCAACACATTTTTCAATTTTTTCTTCTCACTACAATATAAATCCACAATATCTCTTTCATCACACTACAAAATTGACGGAATCCTTCACGCTCTACAAACGTAAATGGAATTCATCAATGATTACCATTTTAACAAGTGAATCCCTACATGCTTGTTGATCAAATTTCCAAACTCCAAGAGTTTTTTCACCTTCTGTTATAGATTGAAATGCCAAAGTCTTTTGTTTTTTATTTTCTTTACTCTGAGGGGACTTAGGACAGTTTGCAATATGTTTTCTCAAAGTGCTGGCTCCATTTGCACTAATCCAAGCATAAGAAGCTTTACAATGGTTACATTTAACACATGCAGTAATCTTACTCCCTTCTTTAAAAATTTTGGTAAAATGCTCCCAAACTTCAGAATATTGTCTAGCTTTTGGCTTAGGAGGAGGGGGGCATACCTTTTAACCTGAAGGAGTTTCAGGCTAAGGATCATGCTCTGGCTCAGATTGAGACTAAGAGAGGTCGATGACATCATTTGTGTCTCCAATACTTGATATCTATCAAACAAGAAAAAGAAATACATAAAAAAAAAAGATTAATATTATTAGAGAATAGTTCCTTTGTGTGGGTCTATTTATGTGTTACTGTTAAGTAATAACTGAACCACTATTCTGATGCTAGAAATTGATAAGATCATGCATAATTCTTTGCTGATGTATTTGTTTTCTACCAAATTAGCTAATATTGCTAATAAATCAGTTTGTTGCTAATGAGCTAGATGGCTCATCAATGGATGGTTTTAGTGTGATGAATGCTTTTGTCAATATAAAATACATATATACACAGTATATGGTTAACTTATTGCAATATATTTATATTTATTTTTCTCAGGTTACTTCAGGAATGAGCCCAGATTAATGAGCCCAGCTTTCAATCTTTATCGATGCAACTTAATTGGATTACTTACATACAGAAATCAAAGAAAAAAGAAAATTGTGATGAATTCTTTTGTCAATATAAAATACATATATACACAGTATATGGTTAACTTATTGCAATATATTTATATTTATTTTTCCCAGGTTACTTTAGGAATGAGCCCAGCTTTCAATCTTTATCGATGCAACTTAATTGGATTACTTACATACAGAAATCAAAGAAAAAAGAAAATTGTGATGAATTCTTTTGTCAATATAAAATACATATATACACAGTATATGGTTAACTTATTGCAATATATTTATATTTATTTTTCCCAGGGCTACGGATTTTTTTTTTTACTTACATTTAAAAATAAAAACAAAAAACAAAAAGATAAGATGAAATCAAAAATAAATAAATAAAAACAGAAAAAATAAAAATAAAAATAAAAACAGAAAAAATAATAATAAAAAAAGAAAAAAGAAAATAGAATAAAATATAAATAAAAATAGAAAAAATAAAAATAAAACCTCTTACTTACATTTACCGAATCCATTGTAGATGACATGAACAATTGATTTGAGATTAAATCCACCGATCTGAGATGAAATCACAGCAGTGTATTGTGTACGTTTTTTCTTTGAGATTAAACCCATTTCAGAGTGTTAGAGAGATAGAGAGCTCATCGAGAGAGAGAGAGAGAGAGAGAGAGAGAGAGAGAAGCAGCTTACTGATCTGATCTGAGATGGACAAGAGTATGAGAGAGAACTTAGTCTAAGATGACACTTTAGCTTTTATATGAAACAAGAAATTATATTGTGTGGGAGGGTATATGGTATAAATATAGATTATTTCTAGACGGTCCGGATCAGTTCCAATCCGGAACCGTGGGATTCAATCCAAAACCAATCCGTGGCGTACGGTTTTGAAATTTCCAATTCGGAATCAAACCACGGATTCAAAAAAACAATCCAAACCTATCGGATTGGACTAGACCAGATTAAATTACGGATTTTACGGATTCCTTGCTCAGCCCTAACAAATAATTGCCTTGAAATTGAAAGCTTAGGCAAGAAAAGTTCATCAAGTCTTTGATGCTTTAATTTGATTGGACTTTCTTTCTACTTCGTTTATGTATGTAGAGTTATGTGGGTCAAATTCTTTTGAAGATCACCTCAATTTATAAGCATGGATGGAGGAGAGCCGTGATAGATTTCAACTTCTTTGATAATTATCTCTAACTTATTTAAAGATAAATATCAAAATATCACTTTAATAGTATATTATATAATTTAATTGGTTTGACCACATCAATATGGTAAGTAACTTAATTTGATTACTCAAATGATTGTTTATTAAAAAGTGCATCATTTTAGTATGCAAAAATATTTTATTTGACCACTATGTAATTTTGACTTAAGATCAATTAAAAACATAATAAAATTTGATTTGCTAATAATTATGTCATATTTCACTACAAGAAATTACACATTGTCCAACCACTTTTGCCAACTAAAAAAATTTTAGTCGCAAAAAATGACATTTGGCAACCAAAAAAAAAGTTCGTAACTAAAATTGATACTATTACCGACTAAAGCAATTTTGTTGCAAAAAAGTTTTTTTTGCGACCAAATGAAAATATTAGTCGCCAAAAATATTGGCGGGAGGTGAAAATCTAGACAAGAATAGTAAAAACGATTAGCAACTAAAACAATTTAGTTGCAGATATTAAAATGACGTGGTTTTGATATCTAAATACACGGAAGGACCATGGCCGACCAACACTGTTGTACGGGATAACTAAACTAATTCAAACCTATATCACAAAAGAAAAAAAGAAAAAAAGAAAAAGGCGCCTCTCAATCGAATTTGATCACACCTCAGTCGCGCCAATCACCTCGCCTCACAATCAACATTGCCGTCCGCCGTCCTCGCCTTTCCATCATCAACGCCGCCGTCTGTCTTCCCCATTTCTGATTCGTCTTCGCCTGGCACCGTCATCTAGCTTTTTTTTTTTCAACCTTCTGTCTCTCTTTGATTCGTCTTCTGTTTATATCTCTCTGATTCGTCTTCGCCATTTCTGATTCCTCTTTCTCATACTCTTCTTGTTCTACAATGTCTCACCCACCAAGGTCCTCACCGTTGCGATTTTTCAGAGCATCTTCAACTCTCCCTAAAAACAATTTGAGGTATAAATCCTCTCTCTCACTCTCACTCACTCAGTCTTTATCTCTCTCTCTCACTCTCAATGTTTCTGTTGATGTTTGCTGCTGGGATATGTCGATAATAGGATTTCAATCTGTTGTTTGTGAGGGCCCCCAATCTGTGATGTTCCCTTGGAGTGTTTTATTTCTTCTCTTTCTTTAAGTATCCCCTTTTATTTGTGAATTACAAGCGGATTTGGGGAAAATTACAAAAAAATTTCTGGAAGGATTCACATAATAAAGAACAAGAACCTATAAGTTAATTTATTTATTTTTATTTGTAAATTATTTGACCTGTGATTATTTGGTTCAGATTCATTTTATTTGGAGATATGATAAATTATTGCTGTGGTAGTTTACCAAAAGATCATTATTGTTATTATCACAATAGTAGTAGGGATTTCAATTGATTTATCATTCCACCAAACTTATTTAGTGGTGGAACTCATTGTTGGGCATCTTGAAATGGAATGTGTTGAAACCCTGATTGCAATTTGATGTATCATTCTATGACTCGACAGAGATCTTTTGGTTTGTAATTGTTTTCCTTTCCAAAATTTGTGACTAGCTAAAATTGCATATTTTTTACCATTGGGTTAGTCTGTTGAGTTAGTCTGTTGGGCATCTTGGAGTTTGCCGAGGGATGCCCTCTTGGCAAGTCTGGCTTACAGTGGCTCAAGATACTAATGGCGAATTTGTATGCTGGTGGTGTGGGCAAGTTTTCCTACGAGGGTCGAATTGCATTTACTGAGAATCATTTAGATGATATCTTTGATTCAGCAGACAGACCTCTTGAAAGAAGGTGCTAGTGGTTGGTTGCAGAGGATCCATGTCAATGCTTCGCAACATGTATTAATCTTGCTGAAGCATTGAGAAGCTCCTCTCCAAAGACTACTATTTCATGCATGCCTGTCCACCAGGTACTGTAGTCTAACCATAAAAAAAAAAAAATTGATCTGGGAATTCATCAGCAATATGTATCTGTGTTTGTGTGCATTTGTCTGCTCAAAAATTGAACAAGGCCTTCAGTACCAACTATTTATTCCGATTTATAAAATAGAAGAATGGAAACAAGATATGGACAGAGAAAAAAAAAAAGAAAAAAAGAAAAACTTTATGCCAGCTGAATCTAGGAAATGAACATAAATTTTATTGAGCTTTGCTTCCAAGTTATCGATTGAAGTTTCTCTTAATTTAATTTATTTCATTTTTAAAAGATCCTGTTTTCTATTCCGTAAGCAATGTGCTTGCAGAGAGGAATAGTATTTAAAAAAGAAAAAAGAAAAAAGAAGCATCTATTCTGGCTTTTGTCACAGTTCCTACTATAATTTCAAGTCTTCAATATATTAAAGCTTCTGATAATTGAAGCTCAATGACATGTTGTATAGTTATATTTTACTCTCTCATGTATATGTGCTTATGGCACCCACACATACATCCAATCAGACAAATTTGTACATATGTGCTGTAAAATACATTTAAAATTACAATTTCAATGTAATACGCTTTATGTCTATGCTGAGACAGAGTGTCCCATCCTATTTGTTGACAGATCATAGACTAAAGACATCAACAAGTAATGGAGATAATAGATTTTCGCTGGTCTTCTTGTTGCATAATGTCGCTACTTGTGAAATTAAGAAAACATCAAGCAGATGCTACAATTTTATTGTTATTTTTATTTTTAAACATTTTGATACGTAAATACAAGTTACATTTTCTTTTTCTTGTTATACTGAATTCTGGAATACACACCATTGCCCAAGCTTTAATCTAAGATTTTTTCCCTCTATTTTTCCCTCTTCAAGGATGGTTCATGTAATGGCCTGCAATACTATGCTACCCTTGGGAGGGACAAGGTAATAAAATCTCTATCGCTTAGCTCATATGAAGTTGTTCACTTTTGGCCATGGTTGTCTTGTTCTTGTATTGTAGTGAAAAAAATTACTTTCGTTCAGTTAGGAGCAGCTGCAATCAATCTTGTTGCAGGAGAGAAACCTGCAGATGTTTACTTGGGAATTGCTGCTAGGTACACAATTCTCTTCAGATATATATGTTTTCTTTTCTAGTTTCTTTTTCTTTCCTCTTTTTGTTGGTGTGTGTGTGTATATATATTATCTATTAATAAAGGAAGAAGGGAATTCGTAAGTGACATGTACATCACTACTAGCTTCCGTTAACCAATATTTGGGAGGCTGCTAATTTTCAGTTCTATAAACTTTAGAGGTGAACCATCTTGATTAAATTCCCTAGGAACATATAAGTTGGGTGTGAAGTGTGAAAAATTAGTGTCAGGATTAGAAGAGAGAAAGATAGAAATAAAGAAGAGAAGAGAATACGATGAATAGGTTTGGGTGTATGTCAAACCATCCACCTTAGAGCATATTTTATATTAGAACAATAGAATGTGATAATAATATCATGAATGCAAAATAACATAAAACATACAATAACAAAAGAAAAAAATACTCTGGAAAATCAATATCACCAATAACAATGAAATGTCTGGATCCAGTCTGAACATACCTGATCAATGTCATTTATGGTCTCTTCTTTGATTCTGAAAAACAAATTACTAACTGGAAATAGAAAAGAATTGAGGTCATGTCTTTGTTCAGAAGCTAAGTGCACTGGATGACCAGCTTTGGAGATGGATCAAGGGAGTTACCTCATGGTCCTTGTGTGGAGCTCATGAATGAAAATTTATATTGTGGTATTACATGGAGGTGCTTAGATAGATCTGATAAAGATGCCTTGGCTTGTGACATCCTCTTGAATCACAATTGTGAAAATCTCCCCTGTAAATACTATTGATATTCTTGCTGTGATGCATAGTTCTTGATATTATGCGGAGAGATGCAGAAAAAGATCCCGCAACTGATCCGAACGCATCGCGTGCTAGGCTTTTAATTAATCAAGTTCGATTGCTTCTCATGTTCATTTAATTCTTATGGTGTTTAATTCATGTATAAGATATCGTACTGAAAATAGATGCATTGAACTTGTTAAAGCCACAATAATTCTCTACCATTCTTAAGAATTTAGCTAATTCAGATAGGTGCTTCCCAAATTTCATTACTTTTCCTGAACCTAATTTAGTTCTATCACTGATTTCCTACCTTCGCAACTGGAAATCTTCAGGTAGACAGGAAATTGGTTAAGCAAACGGTGATGAAATCACTGTATGGCATGACTTGTATTGGTGCCCATGACCAAATCAAGAAGAGGCTAAAAGACCGTTGTGCCATTGAAGACGAAGATGAGTTGTTTGCAGCATCTTGTTATGCAACAAAAGTAAATACATACCGCTATAGTAAATCTTTAACTTTGTTGGTTTTTGGCTTTTTTTTCCAATAAAATAGCTATAATTGTGATACGGTGGTCGACAAAGTCACACCAGCAATTTGTAATAAATGTTGGGATGCCTGCTTTTTCACATTCTCAGCCTAACAATTTTTTTCCCTCTATATATTAAGGAAGGTTTAAGTTAACTATGATTCACTGTATGGCAGGCCACCTTGACCGCATTGGGTGAGATGTTTGAAGCTGCACAAAGTATCATGAGTTGGCTCAGTGACTGTGCAAAGGTCTATTCACTATAATTTTAGATGTTTTGCCTAGTAAAAGAGATATGTACAGATTGTGACCATCAATAGCTGTGAAGCTAATCCGTGTGTGCAAAAATGGGTTTAAATATGTTACATGACGATTGTGTTGTGGTCGCTGCCCAATAGGTAAAAACAAAATAACAATGCATGTGATGGGAAAATGTTGTTTAGTGTTGAGTACTGTTATGTTTTTGCTACAGTCATAAGTCACCCCATGCAATCAGTTTGCTGCCCATTCTGTTTTTGTCGTACTCCTACTCCAATAAATTATGAATTTAAGTTCATATATGGTGGTCATGTTTTTCAGTTATGTAATTTTATTAAGTTCAGGTGTCAGATATACTCTAGAAATCTGAACTACATGTTTGCCTATCCAATTTAATGGATGATGAAGTTCTGGTGATGACTGCAAACCGGTGTCAGCATGGACTTGTGTGGTGTCTGAGCGTATGCGAGCAGGAGCTTGTGTGGTGTGTCACGTGTGTATCATAAACATCCTCTATACCATTCTCTCTTGTACTATTTTTATATAGACTCGCGTACTGGTGTTTGGTTTGAGTTTGTGTCTAAGTGTCTGATTAGTCTAATTCAATGTTCAAGGACTTCATCATTTTGTGTATAGAAATTAGAGACTATGGTACTCTCTTCTCAAGGCAATCACATATTCATTCTTTTCATTTCCCTGATATCATATGCACAATGGACCATCCATTATCATATATATATATATATATATGCCCATTCATGATTTACAAAGAAATCATGGAAAAAAATTGGTTTTGGTTTTGGTTTTGGTTTTGGTTTTGATTTTGAGAGAGCAATCTTTTTAAGAGCCTACCTGTGAATCATCTCCTTCCTCCTCTTTAATCCTTTAGGGACTTCTATATCTGTCTGAGAAAAGGCCATGGAAAAATCTTTTTGTTTTACTTGATTATTCTACTCCCTTCCCTTGCAATTCTCTCTCTTTGAGGAAACTGCATAACAATGCTTGAGCAATATTGTATAATGGCATGGTATAAGAGTAGGGTAATAATAAAATCTATGTAAAATAATTTGAAAAACTGGTACTCATTCATTTCAAACCAATACATCTTTATTTGTTATTTCAAAATGTTACTACCATTTGCCAATCATTTTTTTTTCCTAGTATATGGTAACAGGGAAAGGAAAAAGAAGGGAAAAAAAAAAAAAAAAAAAAAAAAAAACAAAT